AAATAGAACATTTATATGCAAATATTAGTGGTTCAAAATATTTTTCGAAAATAGATTTAAAAGACGCATACCAACAAATGGTTATTAAAGAATCTGRTCGCAAATATACCACTATTAACACACATAAAGGTTTATTTAGCTATACACGGAACCCTTTTGGAATAAAGTCATCAGCAGGGGAGTTTCAAAAAGGTATGGAAACTTCCACAGCAGGTCTTGAGGGCATAGGTTAGGTATATTCCTGCAAGATCACATTATTGTTGCAGGTTCCACTATCACCGAGCACAATGCTCGTTTAGACAAATTACTAAATGTATTGTCAAATGCAGATTTAAGAGTAAAGTTGAATAAATGCAAATTTATGCAAAAGTCAATTGAATATTTGGGTCACAGGTTGGACAAAAATGGTTTACACACAAACAAAACACAGATATTATAAACGATGCCGTTGTCCCAGAAAATAAAACATTGCTAAAATCATTTTTAGGTTTAGTTACGTATTATATAAAATTTATTCCAAAYGCTGCAAATATTTTAAAACCATTGTACACTCTTTTACGTAGGTAACAGCAGTGAATGGAATTGGACACCGGAATGTGACCAAGCATTCAATAAAGCCAAACAAATTTTAATTTCGAAACCCGTATCAAACGATTCCGATTAAACTCATTGTAGACTCATCATCTTATGCACTAGCCACTAATAAGCGCAGTTCCTTGCCATGCGTACCTATATATAGATCGTACTGAAAAACCTATAGCATATGCATCAAGAGTTTCTATCTGAATCAGAATGTAAATTTCCACAAATTGAAAAAGAAGCTTTAGCAATTATTTACGGCGTTACGAAATTGTATGACTATTTATGTGTTATATGGTAGGCATTTTCTATTAGAAACCGATCATAAACCATTAATATGTAGGTATATATTTTCGGTGATGAGAAAGGTATCCCAATTTACGCGGCTAATAGTTTACAACGATAGGCCTATGTTTTATCATCATTCGATTATGACATAAAATATGTGAAATCTGAAGGTAATACAGCCGATTTTTTATCACGAATAAAAGGTTCAAAATTAAAAATTGAAAATCATAATGAAGAATGTATHAGTYTTAATTKWMTTCACGAAYAATCACCTTTCACATTAGACTGGTCTAAAATAAAAATTGAAACAAGTAGAGACACAATTCTCGCCAAAGTATTAAACGCAGTCAAAACAGGAGAATGGAATAGTGNACTGGTCTAAAATAAAAATTGAAACAAGTAGAGACACAATTCTCGCCAAAGTATTAAACGCAGTCAAAACAGGAGAATGGAATAGTGATTTTTCTAAAAATTTRGAACWTAAYTCRTATAATTTACRAAAAACTCAAATTGCAGTGGAACAGGGATGTCTATTATATGGGGTTACCAACGTTACCGTGTCCATTATACCAGCTAAATTTCGAAATAATATACTYAAGGAACTTCATTCRTRTCATATGGGTTCTTCCAGTATGAAAAGTTTAGCGAGATCATACTTTTGGTGGCCAGGAATGGAYAAAGAAATCGAAAATATCACACAAAGTTGCGACAATTGTATTAATGTCAGGCAAAATCCGCCAAAAATCCGTAACATCACCTTGGAAGTGGCCAGAAAAACCATGGACTAGAGTGCATTATTGCGATTTTCTTGGACTATTTCAAAATAAATATTTTTTTGTCATTGTTGACAACCACAAAATGGTTGAATTATTTCAAATAAATTCTATGACAGCAGAAATAACATGTTATTCAAAAATTTTCAGAAACGATAGCACGATTTACAATTCCAAAAACAATTACATCAGATGGTGCAAAATGTTTCACAGGTTTTGAATTTTAAGCATATTGCAAAAATCTAGGTATATAAGGCATATGACAGGCGCTCATCCATTTCACCCAGAATCAAATGGCTGTGCGGAATCAGCAGTCAAAACAAAAAAAAAAATTTTTTTTAAATACTCAACTGCACAATTGCAATTAAATAAATTTCTTTTGATGTATCGTACGTAATACACCTCATTCAACAACACGAGAAACACCAGCTAAGCTAATGTTAGGTAGATCAACACGTTTACAATTTGACGCGTTAATGCCGAATACAAGTGAAGTGGTTATTGAACGACAAATACCTGTCACAAATAAACAATGGTGGTAATAGAATAGTATCATTTAATACAGGTGATAATGTTTTAGCTAGAGATTATAGGAATAATAACAATAAATGGCAAAAGGGTAAAATTATCAAATCCATTAGTTGTAATACAYACGATGTAGAGCTCGAYGACRGAAYTATTTGGAAGAGACACAATGATCAATTACTCATTGATAAATCGCTGACACCAGCGAATAATTCAATTTCACTTACACCCGCTAGACAAATAAATAAAAATACTGAAAATATCGAAATAGTAGGTGCAAAACAAAATCCTGATACTACAATAATAAATAAAACRCCCAAACCAATTAGATCTARAAAACCACCTCAGCGATATTCTCCAAGTGATTATAATTAATGTAATCAAACTTACTAACACACTAACATAGCGATTAAGTAATACACAAAATACTATTTATATTTTTTTTTTTAAGGAAAAAGATGTTGCATATTCAGCATTCATATTACCTATATGATATTACACGTATAACTGTTTATATAGGTACTAACAATAATCATAAGTATAATATTACGATCGGTGGGGACTTGTCCATCGGTTATTAGCGTCTAGCGAGTAGAACTATAATGTACGTCATTACGATTTATACTGTTAACAATAAATGTCTATATAATACGTTTATGTTATTATTTATATTAATGATACATAACACCGGTTAAAAAAAAAATAAGGAAAAACGGGATTTTTTTACACAAAATCAATTTGTGAGAATATCGATTTTAGATTTTGGTGTAACTCTAAAACAAATTACCGTAATTTCATGAAATTTTTATTGAATGTTTATACTGGCATTTTCTATGCTTGATAACATTTTCAAAATATTTCAAACCTTTTAAAGTTATATTTAGATATTTGAAATTTTCAACCTTTTTAAGTTTTTTTATTTTTATAATTGATAATTAATTTAAACTTAACTATAAAAGTTAATTGCTTACGACGTTGATGGTCTTAGTTGAGGTATACTTAATATTTATTTACTGAAATACCTATATATTTGAATCAACACGAAAACAGAATATTTTATCTGTTTGCAGTCATATTATTTTTAAGTAGCAAGAGAAATCACAATTTATAATATGGTGGTAGATTTAAAGAGATCAGTCTTATATTAAATTTTCAAAATAACAATAAATATCAATCACATACATGAATAAATACAACTTCATTAAATATGTATGCAATATATATAAGTAATATGTAGATATATTTATAAGTGTATACTTGCTGTATATAAGATATACAATATACATTATACTATATACACACAAGACATAAAATAACTTAATTAAATAAAATATAATGTTATACAAATATAACAAATAAATATGAAACTCCTTATGATATATGAATTATTATAATTGTGAACAAAGTTATGATGTGATCGAACGTGTGAAAACTAATGGAAATTTCAAATTTTAAGATTATTTTAATATAAAAAGAGAATAACATAGTACAGCAAAGAATATTGTTTTTTTTTTTTTTAAATCTATAAAAACTTTATAATGCTTTGTTTGTAAGTATGACAAATATAGCTTTATAATCATTACCCTTATTAACAATTGGTATAATATAATGTACATTAGACCAGTTGCACGAAAATCATTATAAGTAAAGAAGTATTAAAATAGACAGGTATAGAAACAATTATGTGATAATATAGTAAAATGTATGAAAATAAAATAGTAAGCAAAAAACGACAAAGAAATGTATTAATTAATAGTCATCTTTAAAAAAGGCCAAAATTTACAGCACATGCTGTTCTGGTGTATAAACGAGTGTGTGCCTGTCCATAAATAATCTGTTCAGAGATACACCAACCATTAAAAGTTAAGAGATATAATAAACATTCAACATAAATTTGAAACAAATGCATATAGCTATAGATAAATGTTTTTAAATAAAACTAGTGAGATTCATTTAATCCATCATTAGTGGCCTTCTTTCACTGAGACTTGGAAGATGCCGCTTCACGTCTGATGTACTCAGTCTTGGCCATTTCGGTGGCTATCCATTGCGGTACATCAGGGATCATACAACTAAGAGCACATCGGAAAGCCAACATTATGTGCTGAAAAGTAGCGTTACATGTTATTAAAATAAATTGTCTCTCATGTGTACTTATTAAAAAGGTTTAGGACTTTTTAACGCTGCCATTTCGGCGATAATGACAAAATACATGTTATAGTGAAATCTTTTTTTAGTACAAAATTACGTGCAATTTATGGTCTCATAAAAAATATTAAGTTATTTTAATAAGTACTTTTATTAAGTACTAAATTTATAAAATTCAAGTTCAATGTCATTCAAGACTATAAAAATAGTATAATAATAGTAATAATTAGAGCATGACAACTTAAGGTTAGTTCTTAAGATATTTCACTTGAATATTTGCACTAAATTTATCGAAAATGTAGGTACATATAACCATCGTGTCTTAAAATTTAATGATTACGTTTCGATTCAATCAATGTAATTTTGACTTCACGTCACACTACACACTGTTATACACTTCACACATCAGTGTTACAACTTATAGTTTTGAATGAGAAAGTATGAATAATAACAATTCGTCAATAACAATTTTATCATAGCTAGGCCTTTCCGTTCAAATTATTGCCGTTACATACCTATTGGCTATCCTTTATTATTATTTTTATTACATCATACATACATTCATAAGTACAAGTTATCTTCGATAACAATTTTATCAAAGCTAGTAGTAATAGTAACCAATTGGCAATTAGTACGTCCAGAACTAAACAATTAATAAATACTGTTGTAACAATAGTATAAAAATAAAATATAAAATATAAATTTTTTTTCAATTTTTAGTTATTACTTATTATAATAAATATAATTGAAATGAAATTTTAAAGTGCATTTTTTTTTTTTTTTGATCCTGTACCTATATAGCATTTGTCGGTCTGCTTTTAAACACGCGTCGCATGTATATAACTATAATATTTTTTTCTATTTTTTTTTTTTTTTTTTTTCATTTTTTATTATAATAATATGTATTTTGTCATTATAGCAGAAATTGGCAGCGCCGAAAATATCTATCGCCAATACAGCAGTATTAAGGTGATATCATACACAATACACAAAGGATATATATTATATAATGTTACTTCAAGTTAAAACTAACTTCGAGAGCGACAATCAACAAGACTGTTTGAATCGCCGTCATGTCGGGTAGCAACCGGTGGACTTGACCACTGAGACCGATCAGGGCACAGTTTACAAGCACTGCGATGAACCCCATCACTTCCATGATATTCTGCATAGAACAAATGAACAACAACAATTTCCAATTTTCCATAGGCTTATTACATAAAATGTAATATTATAAAATTGGATGAGAAATGACACTATACCTGCCACATCCCAATGTCCTTGATCCGCTGACCGAATGGCCTTTGGTATACATAGCACATTTTGAATGCGTCACTGCGTATTTCAATCAGATTGTTGAGGAACGCGCACAGGGCGGCTAAAGGGAATGCTGATGAGAACATCACCACGTATCCAAACTGGATGAAAATCTCTAAATGTTCGGAGAATGTACCATCAAACTGCATGAACAAAACAAAAAATTTAGGATTTTAGGAATGGCGAACAATAAACATGCCCAACAAACATTTTAGACATAACTAAACACCTATAATTCCGGAAATGTTCAACCTGATACAAAAGAGGATTATATGTGTAGAAGTTTTCATTTTACTACTTATAGACTGAGTACAAATTAAAAGGCACTATGTTACACCATTTTTTGATAATTTAACTCAATTAAAGAGCAAAATCAAACCAAGAGGGACAGAAAAATCACTTACTTTAAACATCGAACACTCGAGTTCCGGTTGTGACACAATGCGCTCTCCGTTAGGTTTAGCTGGGCCATCAGAAGGTGTCAATGCACCAAACAAGTCAAAGCTGATTTTTGCGAAACGGATTTGTTCCAACACGTAAGGGAGTGCTGACTCTTTGATGTTGCGTATCAGCTGTCTGGTGATTAGAAGTACAGCCAATTGCTGAATGTCAAATTTTAAATGTTATTCATAAGAGAACAGGTTTTTAACCATCCAGTAAAATAAATAATGAACTTATTTACCGTTCTAAGTCTTTCCTGATCTTGCAAATAGAAAGCGATGTAGAAGAGAGACAGGAATGAGTTGACAAATTGAAACTAAAAAAGATTTGCACATTAATGATACAATATCATGAGGTGTAAGTCAATTTAAAATAAATATTATTCTCAGATTAATATTTTATTAACAATACTATTTACTATTAACTAACTTATTGTTACAAATGTTACAATAGTAATTTTCAAAAAGGTACAAACCAGTGTAACTTTGATGATCAACTGATTTTCGTATTCAGTGTCCAGCCTATAATTTTCTAAATGCAGCATGTGTACATAAAGAATGAACTTAAATTCAATAGAAACCAGCCAGACTTTTAAGTAACTTTTTTTGATAATAGTCCATTTTACAGGTTTAATTATAATCAAAATTTGTAAATTATATTTAATGCACGTGTCAAAGTTTAATATAAACGTTTCTAGTATTCAAATAATTTGAAAACAGCTTACCGCAATCATTCAGCCATACAGCAATAATATTGTAAATGTCATCAAGCACAGCGATGATAAGTGCTAACATAATTTTAGAAATGTAACTTAAATATGTTGGATATTCGTTTGTTTCAATGTATGAGTCCCACCAGTCCTAAGATATTTAAACCATATGAGATTATAATTTTATAGTAATTTAATTGTCACTTGAGAATTAACCGCGGGAGATAATAAATAAATTTACTTGTAACTTTATTTGTAATATTGTTAAAACGAAGACTACTGCCAAACATAGACTAATGATTGGTGCACTAATAAAATAACTGAATAGCCTTCGTTTCCAATTAGGATACCACAGTTCTGGTTTACCAGTTATCAGACTAATTCGAGGATGACCCTAAAAATGATTTCAATTAAAAGAAAACAAAAATTAATAGAAATATTTAAAAAAAAAAACCCATATTGCAGTTTATAAATCATTGTTAAACTTTACTTTAAATTCTAGACGAGGTTGTAACAGAAACTGATGTCTTTGATCTAGTGTAGCCCACCGGTAGGCTAATTCAGCACAGTAGCGTTTCCATGTTTCTAAGTATACTGTCAGCCAGATAACATTCATAAAGGCCAATACAACAAACCATACTCCTTCTGTCCATTGATCCAGTTTTCTTCCAAATCCAAACTATTTTATAAGACGCATCATTAAATTTTAACCATTTTTTGGCATTACTTTCACTATAATATAATATATTTACCCAAAATGTAGAATAAGCAATAGCTGGATATATTAATGAACCAGTGTAGTGTCCAATCCATGCAAAGTACATGGCAACTTTGACACCAAAATAATCACAAACTTTATCCAAAGGTTGCAAGCTGAAAAAAGACTTTACCCAGATAATACGCAACCATTGTAATGTCTTATTTTCATGAACCGGGAATAAATGTTCAATTATTCCATTTGACATACATTCTGAAACTAAACAAATATATATATACTGAGTATAATAATTATATTATATTTAATAAAGTAATACATTTTTTTTAAATGTAAAACAAATAACAAAATCAGCATTACTTAATGGTTGACTTTCAACTAGTTCTGTGAGCCAATCACAATTTTTTACCCTGTGAGTGTTTAAGATATATAAAATCAATGTTTGCCTTTCTTGCATAGTAAAAAAATTTGAATGATCCTCGATTCCTTCAAATATATTCATTTCAGAGATTATAAATTCTCTTAAACCACCACCACCAATAATCTTTTTTGGTAAATGTACATCTTGAGCAGCTTTCATAAGACTTTTGAATAATTACAATGAAATTATTTTTACATATTATTAAAACACTCATAACAAATACCTTACACATGAAAAGAAGCTGTCAAGTAAAAACAGTATGACTCCGTTGAAGAATGATATTGGACATTCACAGATAAACTGAAACCATTAGATTCGTCTACTATTAGTGATTTTACCCATTCAATAGTTTTATAATCTGTAGTTTTTGTGAATGTTAAAACCACATCGCAAGCCTATGATTAATAAAAACAAAATTAGTAATAATTTATAAAAATATTTTATTAAGATAAGTTAATAGTAAATTGAACAATGAGAAAAATTGATTTTTCTTTTTTTAGTGTCAATTATATTAAGTATGCAAAAACAACTATACATAGTGGCTAAATTCAATTTGGGTCCCTTTTGAAAATTGTTATGCAAATTAGGTCTAGGTTTATTTAAGATACTACACTAGTTGAGTCCAAGTTTTTTTCAGCTACTAAATTAATTTAGTTTTGAATTATTACAGGTATTACACTATTTGGGTCCCTAATATTCTTTGGTGAGTACTAAACTATACTAACATTTTCTATACATTTTTATAATTTTACAAATTATGATATAATACAAGATATATAGGTAAAATACAAAAAAAATAAAAATCTTTTTTTTATTGGTTAAAATGTATTAATTATTGGTTTATACCTATATTTGTATTATATCATAATTTATATTTTTAATGGTAAGACACTCAAAAGAGAAACTGAATTTTTTTTTAACTCTATCTCGGTCTAAATAGATTGTAGACAGTCCTAACTAAATAACTTCTAGGTCTATTAAGATGGGAAGGAAAAAGTTATAATTTATAGAATTTACCAAAATTATAAGGGACCCAACTAGTGAAATAGCTAAAATAATGTGTGACCCATCTAGTGTAGTACTTGAAAATCATCAGAGCCCAACTAGTGTAGTACCCACAATTAGCCACTAGTATTTGAGACAGTGACAGTCAAATGATTTTAACATAAGGGGAGGGAATAAAACTGATTTTATAACATGTACTATTTAATTATTAAAAATATAATTTATGACCATCAGATATAAAACATTGAACAAATTTTATGGKCGGAATTCAGCTCCCTAATCAATCTGCTGTTGGTCAACTGTCAAAGATTTGGGATCCAACTAGGATGCACTAAACATGGTGGCTCATCTTATACATTTTAATAATTTTTCATTATATTTTAAAATATACTATAGTGCTTGATTATTATAGTTACTGTTTTATAGACAATAGTGCATATTGTTTTCTCATTTAAAAATATAAATATTTTTAGCATCAGGTTGCTAAATTTTACATCCACTTTGTGTATATTTAATTAAGGACTAATTATATGTTTATTTACTTTGGGCGGAATTGATTGGATCCATAAATGCCGTGGAGTCATTAAGTGACCAGCCCTTGGTATTTTTCTTCGTATTAATTTTGATGCTGAAAATCAAACAATTAATTTTAAAATCAACTAATGACTATTTTTTGAAAATCTTTTATTTTGCATTTTAATTTGTTAAATATAATTAGCCCTGTTAAGTATTTAAGTAAAAGTACTCAAAAACATTTTTAAGTATCAAATAACTTTGTAAATACTTTCAGCATAAAGTATTTTGAATGTTTTTTAAATACTTTTTTGTATTAAATATCAATTTGTATTGAATATTTCGATTTTTTTTCGATCATTTTATTTTTATTCAAAATATTTGGTTGGATTAATATTATTGCCAATTGCCAACTACAATAAATGAGTAATAGTTTTATTTAATATTCTGTATTTCTTTGTTAGCTGAAGCCCGAAGGTTTCTAAAAATAAATATTCAATAACAATATTTCCATTGTATTACCTATTAGACAGGTAACTTTTGATCTGTGATAATATCAGATACAATGCCTGCCCTTGATAGTATGTTTTAATATGAGTAATTCTAGCCAGAATATTGAATTTTGAAAATATTGTTTCTAAAATGTAATAAACATTTATTTAATAAATAAAATAAAAATGATTATAAATCTACTATGTGTCTATAATTCCCATACTAATTAGAAACCTACTTTAAGAACCAAAAATATTTGAAAAGTTTATTCCAAATACTTTTCTTAAATATAAAAAAAAAAATGTTCGAGTATTTACTCAAATATTTTTAAAAAGTATTCATTAAAGGTCTGAATATATTATGGAAGGACTGCAATCCAGATGTTTTCTTGGGTGCGAATTACAAACATTCAACAGTCTGAACTTTTTTAATAGCAAACACCTCCTATCTGTGGACAACATTTTGATGATTGTGTTTCCTGTATTTAGAGGTTACACTATACTTAAACTTTAAGTATAATACAAATTTATATAAATAACCATCACTCATGAGTAATTATGTAACTTTACTAGTTAATAAAGTGGCAAGTACAATTATTTTTTAATCCATTATTAGTCATGGATTTAATATTTGTTATGCTAGTCTTGTCTGGTGTTCTCTGTGCCAAAGATTTATTTTTATCAATAACTTTATAAGAAAAATGTATAAATATTAAGAAAATTCTACCTATTATAATATCTAATAACATTATGTGAAACTAATAGCAACACTATAAATTACCAAAAACAATTTTTTTTAAATAATTTAAGTAGGGAATATACCCTACAGCTATATTGTAAATTTCACGATATCCATAATAATACCTATTTGAGAAACTCGATCGCGAGTCTTTGTATTTTATCATATAAGTTTCAACTATTGCAATGATTTAAAAATGTTCGTATTTGCAAGATATCATAAAAAAATCACGATGAATGGTCAGTGATACAGACGATAATATATACTGAATCTAATGCTTATGGACGCCGCACGATTTATTTAAGACACACACTTCTATAGGCAGTAGTTACTGTTCTATGATAGTATAGATCTGAGACTTAGATCATATAATATGGATGTAGCCACTCGGTATATGCTTGTGGCTTATGTATTACTGTATTAGATTTGAAGCCAAAATGACTGAAAACGCTAGAGCCTTGGTTATTACTGCGAGTGCGTAAATTAATGATAATAGTATATGATATTATGATCATATTATTTTTTGTGATAATTTATTAACCAATCAGAATTACGCGCATGCGCACAAACAGTCAGGGCTCTGGGTTATTCTGGCTTCAAGAATATTAGCCCGATAATATGATCCAAGATCTGAGATCAAACGTTTATCTCAAACCGTGAAAAGGCGCAAACGTTTATCAACCATGGATATTATAATATCTATGTTATCAACCTGATACGCCATAAAACATAAATAGAGTAATATTATATTATTACTCTATGCCATAAAATCATGATCATTTATTCTGTGATAAAGTCACGTTACAGTGATAAGTGATAACAGTAAATATTTTGATATTATTATTTCAATAATTATTATCATTTTTTGCACAATATAAGGCAAATGGAATTAATGAGTCATATGCTTTGGTCAAACCCGTAACGATAGCATATCAGTATTCAGTACTATGTTACAATAATCGCCGTTTTGTCGTTGTGAAGAGTGAAGACTGAAGTTTCAAGTTCACAACACTATGACCTAGTATAACTAGCTAGTACAAGCGAATCTTTGATTTCCTAGTTGAACGTTACCGGAATTATTCAATTGGTTTATTTTCGATACTTGGTGAGTACTATTACAATTTATTTTAAATGTAAAAAATAATATGTTATAGTTTTATGTAATCGTCAGCCTTAAACATAATTTTCTTAAACTTCTTCATGATTTTAACTTAAATTTTATTTTTCACATAAATATTATATTTCTCAAAAAAAAAAAAGTTTTGTCTTAGGGTTAAATAGGGTGTATTGATATTAAATAATTCCTCAGTAATTACTTACAAATAATAAAAGTTGATTTAAAACACATTTAAGTATACCTATTTTTAGAACTCTAAATTAAATTATAAAATCTTTGAAAATAAATAAAAGAATTAAGAGTTTGTTTTACTAACATCAAGGACACGCACAGTTCTAGTACTTTAATTTTCTACAGACGAGTTATATTTATTTATAAGTGAGGTATAGGCTGTAAACTTTGTAGTAGTTTACATTTTTTATCATTCTTCACTTATTTCATCTTTACTTGATCATAATTTCACTATCCAATATTTAGCGTTTACGGTCAAGAAATGAATGTACCACATCAGTATATTACGGTTGAAGTTGAAACAGATCAACTGAATAAATTTCTAATCAAACTAGCAGTTGTAGTGATAATAATAATTTGGCTTATCTAGGTAGTAAATAATTTTAAAAAAAAGTGTAATACATATTATAACAAATAAATGTTGAAATTTATTTTTATTTTTACCTGTCTATACATTTTTTAACAGATGGGCTTAAAAAATGATAGGCTGCCCACCTTGACATCATATGTTAGAACCTCCACTGATCAAGGAAATATTAAATTTGAGTAGAGTACAAAAATACTACCTATTCATATAATAAGTAGAAAAATTTAATAAAGAATGAAAAATGTGAGTAGGTTGTTGATTGTTGAATAAAATATAAACACTTGTTGAAGTTAAACTGCTCAGAATTATTTTTTATTTCGTCAAGATTAAAAAATTCTCAACTAGGTCTGTCTCTCTCAAATAAAAGATATTTTGATGTTCTTAAAATCCTCAATAATTAGTGGATATGATTTTAACTTGTAAACTAGAAAAAGCATTTAAAAAAAATATTACATAACTTACTCTGTTAACGATCTAAACTATTTAGTGATTATTTAATATGTATACTGATTTATATTAATTTGATTTATATTTCAGTAAATTTTAATTTTGAATATTCAAAATTATGGAGGAAGACAATTCTTTTTCTAGCAGATTTGCCAAAAAGTCTCAACAGATGCCTTTGTATCCTGTTGGTATGTAATATTAAAAAAATTGTTTTATATTTGAGCTTATAGTATGTAAATATTTATTTGAAATTCAGGAATATTGGGATTTGGATTAGTAGCAGCTTATGGACTGTATAAATTTAAATCTCGCCAGGGACGTACATCTTTGTACCTTATTCAATTACGGTTAGCAGCTCAAGGAACAGCTGTAGGAATTATTGGAATAGGTGTTCTATACAATATTTATAAAGAAGCAACATCAAAAAAAAGCTGAAACAATACACGAATGATTTGTTAGTAAAATGTATTATCACTATTATCTATCAAATAGTATCACTATAAATAATATTTTTTTTTTATGTTAATGTATTGTTTTATAAGTATGTAACCAAAATAATATAGTGTATACTTATTTTATGTTTTTTGATTTACTGATCAAAAATAGTATTGACTATACCTTAGTAATGATAAAACTTAAATACTATGATATTTTACAAATTATATGTAAACCTTTAAGTGTTAATATACTATTATAAATAATGTAAAATAGAATCAAATTAGGAATGAGATATGCATATAAATTCTTAGATATTGTACATTGTGAGTATTGGATAACTTAAAATTTTTTTTATTCTATACAGGGTGTCCCATGAGGATTTACCCTTTGCGATATCTCCCGAAATAAAAATTCTGGTTTTGTAATAAGACTCACAGGGATAAGAACTACAATTATTTCCAAAAAGTTAAAGATAGCCATTTTATAGAGTTAATTTTTCTGAAAATATTAATGTTTCAAAATTTTATTTTCATTAATTTTCTGAATTTTAATATTTTTTTAGTTTCGAGAAAAATTGCGAATTATTTAACACCATAATGTTATCAAACATGTGACCCACCGCGTGGTGTGGATTCGCATAAGGCCAACCGAATACTTTCCGTGTTCCTAATAGTTATAAATTTATAATCATATTTTATTTCTTCAAAACTAGAAAAAGTATTAAAAATCAGGAAATTAATGAAAATAAAATTTTGAAACGTCAATATTATCAGAAAAATAAACTCTATAAAATGGCTATCGTTCATTTTTTTGGAAATAATTTAATAAGAAAATATATTTTTTAAATTGTTTACAAAAACATTAAAATAAATTAAAAAATGAATGATTGTAGTTCTTATCCCTATGAATCTTATTATAAAACCAGGATTTTTATGTCTCCTTTATTTCGTGAGATATCGCAATGGGTAAATCCTCGCGGGACATCCTGTATTTTATTTATTTTATTACAATTACTTCCATTTGAAACCAAATGATGATGCCTACAATTTTAAATTAATTGACTAAATTGTTATTCTTTGCTAGCTCAGTTGCATTGTATAGCTGTTAGCAGTGGTATAACCATTGGATCGGGATCGGTAGTTGGAAGATAATATGTATACTATCCAAAATATTTTTTGTTAAATTCACAATTTTCCAGTTACACAATAACCTAACCTAAACACAGAAGTGGTGACAGCTGTGGAGCGTGAATACTAAAAGCTTATCGACTGACAACAAATTGAAAAAGTATAAAGTTGTGTAGACACCATACCAGACTTTATTTCATACTTGGTTCTGTTAATCTTAATTTAAGAGCAACATGTGATAGATTGAAGATTTTTATTTTGACGTGTAAGAGAATTATTAAATATTTTTATATCGTAGTATTTTACAAACTTTTTATTAGCTTGGAATATTGAAAACAATCTTTGAGAGAACAGAAATATTGTAGTTATCTTTAAGGCAGTTCAATTCTTAAAGCCTATCAACAGAATCATACTATAAGTTATTGGTAATATGAAATATATTTTTATGTACATCATCGTTTCTGAACAATTGAAAATGATTAATGAATAATAAGTAACTGTATAGTTATTCTCTATAAATATATTTTGTACTTTATACAATTATTTATACTAAAAATAAGCCCAAGTTACGCTGCTATGTAGAAGCTGTGAAATTTTTGTCAATAACGGTGTAGATAAAGGGCTACTTTAGAGATGTGTTCTTCAATTATTAATCTTATTAAAAAATGGAAACATGTTATTAAACATTTTAATAAATATTCAAAGTCTAATTATCATAACTGATAAGCTTCCAATTATTCACTCTTAAGAACTATTGAAAGCAATTAAAAACAAAAAAACATAATAATGAGAATAAAATAAATAAATTAAAAAAATATATTGAATATTGAGCTATATTTCATCCAATAATATTGAAATTATAATCTTGTGTCATTAACTAGATATTAAGTAAAGATGTGACAATAGTATTGAATACATCAATATTTTATGAGAATGTTTACCGTTTGACTAAGTTTAATTGATAATCCAATTAATAAGGTGTATAATTATGGGCATAAATAAAACATGATCAAAAAAATATTTTTTAAACAAAAAAATTTAAATCCTAATGGCATATTTGCCTTGCATACTATGCTCATATTTACATTATGTTAAAGACATAGGAATAGATTGTTGTAATGTGCTATGATTAGGTTTCGGGATGTTGTATTTACACGTTTTGTTTTATGGTGATTATAGATTATTCTAGATAAAATATCAATTGTTTTTTAATTTGATAACATTTTAAAAAAAGTTGCATACAAATATTGCATATTTTATGATAGGTATTTCAAGAAAAATCTATATTTTAAAACTTGTCAGCATATTAGTTGCATTTTTCAGATTTAGCTATTTTCATAAATTTAATATTGTTGATCTACATATTTTATTTTATTTTAACCAGGTAGGTATACTGTTTATTGCGTTTTAAAAAGCTTATGCCAGTCTACATAAAAAATTGATTAGTTTAATGGACTAATCATAGGTCGCTAAAACATGTTAAACATTAGCTCACTATTGGTTCATTAAATGTTGAGACTGTTTATGTGATCTCCATTATTAAAACATTAAATAATAGTCATATTAACTATTTACATATATGTGTCAGATTTATTATTTACTACTAATTCATAAATTATAAATTATTTGTTTATATGTATTATGGTTTTTTTTTTTAAATAAAAACAATTTTAGCTGCATATTTTGGCAATTTTATTTGGATACTTTAAGGATTTTTAGAGTAATAGATTGCAAAACCCTAATTATGATGTTAAATTTATAAATATCAAAATTAATAACTTATTAAAAAATTATAAAAGTTAATTCTGTTCACAATTTCATTACTAAAAATTCTTTATTGATTTAATTCAGTTTTACTGACTATACCTACCTAAATTAATGACTACCTAATAATGTAAGAAATTTTCAAAATTATGTAATACATACCTGATGATTGACTTAATGTATCTAATATCAGTGAAGAAGATTCAGCTGAATTTGATTTATCTAGAGATAATTTTTCTAAAAAATATACAAACAGTAAAATTGTTGTATTAAAGAACATTATGTTTAAATTTTAAACTACCTGTCAACTCTGTAGAATTTGATGGAATTGTAATATTTGAACATATTAATACATCATCTGAATCAGTTTCTGGTTGTATAGTCAATAATTCAAGAGATTTTAGTTTGTTATCTATCTTGTTTGATTCTATTAAAAGAAGCCAACAATAAATTCAACTTTTAAACTAATGTATATTATTTAAGCAACGTAAATTCATAAAGTAATAGATTATGGTATGAATAGTTTATTTTATTTTAGATAAAGACAATTTATGAAACAATATACTTAAATTGTTTTAATGAGAGTAGGTACTTACTGTATTCAGGATTAATAATTGGAATCTTTGAATTTCTCTTACAAATATCATGCAACCTAATGTTTTTTTTTTGTATATTATTAACATAGCTCATTATGATTTATTATGATTTTAAACAACATTTAATTTTAAATAATTCTAGATAATGGCAGTAGTTCACTGTAAAAAGACGGTAAATACTTAAAAATAAAATCACAGATTCTGTGATAAAATTGAGTAAAAATATAATCTAGATAAACGATAACTGATAACAATAATTGTAGTATCAGATAATATATATATAGGTAATAATATCAAGTTGTGGTCGTGCAAGGTTTATAGATAAAGGTAATATATTATATTATATTATAATTAATGTATTATAATAAGGTTTATAAACCTTGGTGGTAGTGGTCATTTTCGTATGTGGCGACTCTTGTCCCACATCAGTGCGACAGGTGACCTACTGACGCATCCCCGAACTACAACGCCAGACACGTCCTGGTCCAGTGGTTACGTGCCGCCGGCGCTGCCACAGTCAATAAATTCTCTCGCTCTCGGCGTTTTCGCGTTTCCGGTCCGATTCAATTTTATTGTTCGCGTCACACACACTCACACTGTTTTATTTTTTTATTTCATAGGTTAGGTTAGGTTATAGGTAATCATCTTCAGTGGCGCCAGTTTTTAAAATATGGTTGGGCAATTTCAAAATATCGAGGTCTTAATATATATCTTAAATAATTAATTAATTAATGTAGAGCCATAGAGATACCACCATAATATACATTTACTCATAATCATGGCTTAATTAAAATTATGCCTTCCGGCCATATTTTTTCAAAACAGACTGAGCCATGGCATCATTATAAAATAAGAACACAACGCGCATTAACAATACGTCTTAAGTCACTAACTCACTGCTCAATATTATGTATTATTATTTAATACTTACTATTCAAATTTAATCAGAATTGCATTTACCCGTAGTATAGCCGCATAGGACGTTTCAAATAAATCTGAAAGTAATATTTGTATTTTTTACATTGAATAAGATTTGAGTTTACATAATATTAGATATATAAATAACAATTATAAGCAGCACTGTCTATTTATTATCCCCTTGACCCCTTGTCCAGATTCCCATATGTTTTTAAAATCTTCATGTTTAAAATGGTTATGGCAAACTCTGTAGCTTATTACTCTGCAGACTATCATCTTAAATCGTGGGCTATACCTACCTATTATAAATCATGATTAAAGATATACCATAGTCCATCAATATAATCAACTGCTATTATCTTAGACATATTAATATGTGTATGTCGTATACTCGTATGACTGTTACAGTATACCTCCTACTATATAGTCCTACTTCACTCTAAGTTTACGCAATCAATTATAACTTGTTGTACTCGTATGTATTTAGGCTGTATATGAATGGGATTGAAATGTTAATTATATACTATTATTGAAATTATTAATTATTAAATGATATTATTTAGTCATTATATTATTGTATGCTGGTTATCACAGTTCTTATGCATAGTCACACTCACATAGACTATAGCTAGTATTATGAAATAGAACCCTTGAATTACATTTTTGACTATCTAAATGAATATTTTTTAGCTATAATTATTGAAAAAAAATAAAAGGTAGGTATCGATTTTGAAAATATGAAAAATATTTAAATACTGGTTTTATGTAAAAATTCCAATTTTTCTTAATTTACAACGTTTTCAAACGCAATTTTTGAGAAAAAAATTAATTTAACCTTCTGGTTCTGGATACTAATACTAATGCCTATAATAGGATTAATCATGAATTAATAAATTACACGATGAGAGTCGACATACAATGTTCGTTCAGAATTATTATTTTTATACAATTTATATCATTGAATTCAAATTTAACATTTTCATTGCAGTGACTTCTCTAAACATCTAATTTTATAGCAAAGCGTTACCTACCTACTTTTTCGTTTTTTTCATTTTTTCGTTTGTATATTTAAATATTATTTTATTATATTTAGAATATTACATTAATATAATATAGGTACAAGGTACCTACCAGATACCTACCTATCTACACAGAAATTAGGACACTAGACGTGTTAATTTGTTTCATTATTATTATTGTAAATTGTAATACCGTATTGAATAATCCATCACGCGATGAATACTATCACAGTTAATAATATGCTACGTTTTTTTATTGGTGCTTAATATTTTCAAAAACGTAAATACTTTTCAAGATATAATAAGTTTTTACTATTAAAGGAATCAAGTCGTATAATACAATAATTACCAATTATCTAAATAAAGCATTGACAATAATTTAAGAAATAAGATTATATATGTATAAGTATAAACAAGGTTGAACTGGTCYGGAACGCAGATCCACGATTGCTAACTGGATCTCCGGCTATAGTTTGAGCCCCCAGACTCCTTGTTCATTTTTAAAATTAAATAAGATTACCATATTTTATTTAGTAACTGTATTTAGTTTGACTTGGCATTTTAAAGGGCGTCTTATTGATTTAAAAAAATTAAAAATAAATGAATATTATTTTTAAGATAAATTAGTCACCAGCCATATTATTAATATCATATATTTTTATTTATTATCACTTTATCAGTTATTGTTTAATGTATCTATAATTTTTTTTCATCAGATATGAAAAATGTTCACCAAGACACAATTAAACCAAATGAATAATTGAATATTAACTTTATATTATTGCTATTTGTTTTCAGAATTAAGTTACACACACATTAATTTTATAATTCGGTGTCTCAATGTTTAAACTAGGAAATACAATGAAGTGATAAACCAAGAAATGTTTAGTAAAATGTTTAAAATTAACACTCTAAAGTAAAAGGATGACTACCTATAGTAATTGAGGTAGATTTGCCTTTAAACTATTTTAAGTACATACTTTGTTACAAATTATTTATGATAATATCATTGGTTGACTATCTAGTCAGGTATTGTGTTATTAATAAAAAAATAATAATATTCCTCAATTGAATAGTCCAAATTTAATATGTACCTATATGGAATACCTATTAAATTTCATGTATATTTAAAAAATTGTTGCTGATTGTATTGAGTGTAGTGGAGGTTCTTAGCCACCATTATAGCATGTCGTATTCATATCTTCTGAGTAATAAGGGATGAAAAAAATTATTTAAGTTATTTTGTTATAATTCAAAAAATATTAATCGAAGGGTCTTGAAACATTTCGTCATTACTTGGGAATATTTTTATATTATACACATAATACAATTTGAAATTCAAAATATTTATAGTAGACATACCTAATTTTAAACTAATTTATACTATGACGTATATTTACACCGTACTTATAGATAAACTAAGCTGCAGGTGTTGACTTATACAATTATAATAAGTGCGATATTTTCTGTAAAAATTAGTTCAACATAATATACCATTTAAATAATATTAATTAATGATAAAATGTTATAAAATATCCTCAGAAATTGGGTATAACACACAGTTTCTACTCAGAATCGTTTTTCGTATACAGTAATTTAACATTAAATTCAAATTTAAGCATTTTATTTTATTTTATTTTTTTATTTTATTTTATGACATTCCTAGGCAACAATAGGCTATCTATATCTAGGGATAGTAAATTTAAGCATTAAACACCTCCATTATAATGATCTACTCAATGATGATTCGTAAAGCACACACGTAAAGTAGAAACTTACTATACGGTATTAAGTATATAGGTAGCGTATTGCGTATCGCGTATGTACCTATAAGGGAAAGTTAGTTTTTGCTTTTTATGATTACCTTTAGTATACTGCAGGTACCAGGTACCCATAATATGTTTTTATATGTCTTGTTAGAGGTAATTTATCATATGAATTATTTACTGAATATCCAAGGGATAAATATAAGGTATTATATAAGGTGTAATATGTTATATGTATGTATAGGTACGTCAGGGGCGCACCCAGAATTTTTTTTTTTTTTTTTTTTGGGGGGGGGGCTAAATTCAAATAGTTTTAATATTAATAGGTAGTATTTATTTTGAAATATGTACAGAAATCTTAAAGCTTGTTTACAATCTTTAACTAACTAATTTTGTTTTTTTGTTCCGGTTTTAAGTCACGCCGTAGCGGTGATATTATACCTGTAAAACATAAATATTACCTACCTATTAATTAAAATTAAAATTATGAATAATATAGTGATTRTTTTTTATAAATCTAACCTTTTAAATTATAAAGTTRAGACGCMTTGGTCCTTTTTTCCCCAATACTGAGAGTACTTCTGAAGTYTGAACATCGATTTCTCTGTGAATATGARGCATASCTAATCCATTCAGTCGATTCTGACTCATTGTATTTCTCAAATATGTTTTTATTCTTCTCTAAGTGGGAAATGATCTTTCTGTTTTACTAGTCGAAACAGGCAACGTTGAGAATATTTTTAAAAGTATAAATATAGTTTCAAATAGAGTATCATTACACAAATTTAATGCATCGATTTCATTATGTGGTAATGAATGATTTGGGCATTGGAATTTTTGATACCATAAATCAAATTCGGCTACTATAGCGTTAACGCCGTTAACGCCATTTTCTGGTATAATATCATTTTTATAAAATTCTAAAAGTTTTAAATACTGTGATTTTTTTGTTTGATTAGGAGGATTTCCAGTAGGTAAAAGACACTTAAAACTTTTAATAATGCATTTATGCTTTAAAAATCGGTCGGATACATTGTTTATAAAAGAATCTAGCCATGGAATAGATAGGTAAATTGCTGATTTTTTGTTAATCTGGGCATAGTAATTGTTAGTTCTAAAGCATTAGCCATTTCGTTTGCTTCATCGAAAATAATTTTAAATTCATTTTCAACATTAGTTTGTATCTCGCGAAGAATGAATACTACACCGAACCTAACCACATTATTCATTTGATGTAGCTGTAGCATCATTATTTATTGCCGATGAATTGTCTATAGAAATATTAGAAACTGATTGTTTTTGGACTTCTGAAGGTGTGGTGTGTGACCCAACTTTAAAATAATTTAATAATGATCCAGAGTTATTACGATTCATTGTATTTAAATTTTAAATGCACTCATTTGAATAAACAAAAAACAATTAACAATTAAAAATGAATAAATAAATAAATCAGCTCGCGAAAAACCAACGATGTCG